TGCGGGCGGGCGGAGTCTGTTCGTGCCATTTCGGGGGTGCAGGAGACGGGGGACCCCAATGTGTCGTCACAGCATGTACAGAGCGGCCAGCCGCAAGCAGTCCTGGCACGCGGCTCAGAACCAGTAGGAGCTGCATTTCCTTAATCAGGGGTGGTTGGCCACCCCTGTTATAAACAATGTAACCGGGTGGGCCACACTTAGATAATTTATAAAGATGTAGTTGCGGGCCGCAAAAAAATTAGATTGGGCCACATGTTTGACATGGCTGGCTTAGACAGTACTGGGTCCTGCCGTGAGGGCAGGGGACTGAACTCGATGACCTCTCAAGGTCCCTTCCAATTCTAGCATTCTATAAAAGTCAGACCCTGCAGTTTCTGCTCTCTGGCATTACCTGATCGTGTGAGTGATTGTCTTAAGCACAAACCAAATAAGACATAAATGATATCGTTTGTAGTGTTGTTGTAGCCATACACAGGTCAGGCTATTCGCTAGACAAAGTGGGTGAGAGAATAGCTATTATTGGCCTAACTGCTATAGTGAAAGAGACAAGCTTTTGTTGCATAAAAGCCTCCGCCCAAGCTATTACTTGATTTTACACATGGATTTTCTGGAAATACACTAAACTGTAAGGCTGTGTCTACATTAGCGTGATCTTGCGCAAAAGCGACTGCCTGTCTACACTGGCCGTGAGTTCTTGCGCAAGAACACTAACGTTCTAATGTATGAAATCAGGGCTTCTTGCGCAAGAACTATGATGCTCCCACTCAGGAATAAGCCCTCTTGCGCAACTGTTCTTGCGCAAGATGCCAGTGTAGACAGGCAACATGAATTACTTGAGCAAGAAAGCCCTATGGTTAAAATGGCCATCAGAGCTTTCTTGTGCAAGAGAGCGTCTACGCTGGCATGGATGCTCTTGTGCAAGAGAGCATCTACACTGGCATGTGCCTTTGTGCAACTACTTTAACACAAAAACTGTTGCGCTAAAGAGTTTTTGCGCGAGATCATGCCAGTGTAGACATAGCCTGTCTCTTTGACCAACAGAAGTTGATTCAGTAAAAGAAAGAATATCGATAGTACGGGGAAATATTTAGGTGAGTGAACAAATGCTAGGTCCTACTTCAAATGGGAGTGTTTGTCAGTGCAAGTCATGATGGGGGGTGGGAATCCTATTGGTAGAGCCCCACAAATCTGCAGATATCCAATTTATAGCCATAGCTCATGTTTGTGGATATGTAGACCAACTTTGTACCTTAAACCTTGTAAATTTGCAGATATCAGCACGTATCCGTGGTTCATTTGTTGAGACCAATGTTCCCCCTCATTTTTTCCATCCGGAGCAGAATAATTTTTATGTACACCAAAGCATGTGTGCACCACCAGTAGAAGCAAAACCTAGCAGTGGGCGCTCTGCTAATGCTAGGTGGTGTTTGAATTTCTCCTGAGCAGCAGCACAAGTGCATAACTTACCAGGAACGCTGGTTCAGATCCCAGTTTTGTAGCCGTACAGATGTCTGGCTATTGGGCATTCCACAGGACGGGTGCAGGAGAAAAAGCAATGCCCTGGTTACATCTGGTTTTGCAGAGAGCAGTGGTTGCCCTAATAGCACCCTCCCCCCACCTCTCCGCCAGACTACTCCCATAGCTTTGGCAATGGGGAAGTCCCAGCCCGCCCAATGAACCTCAAAACTTTTCATGGAGCCAGGCCAGCTTGAGGGGGCCCAGCACAACCTGCCCTAGACCGGGCTCTGACGCCCCTCTGTACTTACCGCCCCTCTCGGCTGTGCCGCCGCTCTGACACTCCCATCCAGGTCTCACCGATTCCTAACCCGGCCCCGCTCCTCAGGCTCTGACATGCGTTGTCGCTAGTCCGTCCCGCCCACCGCCTAGACTGTCCCCAGCCAGTCCCCACGAACGTGGAGTGGCCCGGACGGCTACCGTCCCGCCCCCTATGCAACGAGAACGCCTTTCGTTGCTCTCGAACTCACCACCCCCTACTATGGCCCTAGGTAGTTACCGTAGCGTAGCCCATACGTGGCAGTGAGTGTGTCCTGGCCTATGAGCGTAGTCCCGTGCCCCGGAAGGGACGTGGTGTGAGCCGGAAATGTCTCTTCTGCCGCGCCGCTCAGTCTTCCTCTGTTCCGCCATGTCGCCGATGATGGTAGTGTTGCTGGTTGTGTTCCCAGCCACGGCTGCTGGCTACTTTGTGAACATTG